TTTTGTGGTTGGCTGTATCTTTAAATGCTCAAACAAATCTTTGTACTTTTTAATGCTTTTGTTCGCTAGTTGCCGTTGTAACTGTGTAATAAATAACTGTATCTATTGTTGATAATATCTTATTAATGTGCCTGGCTCCGACACCGGGCGCTACTGTGATAATTCTTAACATACGGCGCAAGTTATAAACAACTAGCGGGATACGACAGATATTATATAAGACAAATAAATTGAATTACAGTAAAGAAATAAACAAATATATACTTTTTTTATTTCTACGTGTATTGTGTACGTAATTAATTTATTTTATTTTATTTAATAATATAATTGTAATCACATTTAAATGTTATAAATATCATTATTGTATATTATGACTAACCATATATGTAAAGATGTTTTTTACATTGGTCAATAAATGAATCTAAACTAAAAAAAACTACTAGAATAATAATTTAGTGCATTACTGGTTACTGGAGAAGTGTTTTTATGACATCAGAGAATATTTATCTGATGATTGTTGACATGTATATAGTGTATTTAGTGTCTTCTAAATTTTCGTGTTTAACATAGTGTGGTCCTTTTACTTTTACATATAATCTTTCAATTACTTAAAATTAATTACATTAATACATACAATAAAAAAAAAACAGATAAAAAAACACCTAAAAGTTAATTGCTATGATTGTCCCGTATCGTACCCGGCTTAAAGGTTCCCATAACGCTCGAAGCATTGACATGTATTATAAATATATAATTACTTTATTTATTTATTTTATTTAAATAACTTTAATGCACGTTATACATAAGTAAAAAGTACACATGGCGGACTTAACATCTAATGGCATTTTCTGCCAGTCAACCATGAGTTGTGCAGAGATAAGTTGATGGCGGTGCAAATATTATTATAATAATTATCATTGTGCATAAAACATTAATTTTAAATTATGACATTACAGATTAAATGATTTTAATATATTAATATGTATGTATGTAATCATGTCCTTAAATTGGAGCAATTAAATAGTAAAAAATTAAGTAGCCAATAATATTAGTACCTGGACATAATACCTAATATCTAACTGTATAATACGCAAATAAAATAAAATTTCAATGAACCAAAAAATAAAAAGCTTAAAAATTATAATATAATAACTAAAATATATTATTAAAAGGAGTCCCTTTAGGCAAGGTCCCGAAAATACTGGCAGGGGAACGCTGCCAGTATCTTCGGATCCTTTGAATAGCTAGACTAATTTTTTGTCCGAGGTAGCTGCCAGCTCTTCGGTCTCCTGTGATGTCGACTAACTTTGAAATGAATTTATTTTTTTATTGCAAATAAAGCCCCGTTAAAGATCGTTAGCCCCATGATATTGGCCACAAAATTACAAAAAAAATCAAAATAATTGAATGATGTAGGTCTATTACGGACTCTTATGATATGTCTACCGTCAGTTCGGAATGATCTCGAGCTGAGAAGAACTGACAAGAAACTCAGTTCGTATTCTTTTCAAATAAATGTTGTACTTGCCACAGTGCCCTAAGTAACACATTAGCTTTATTTTTATGTTCAAATCATATTAATTCATTCGAAAATTCGAGCTATAAAATTTTTGTGTTTTTTTCAGTAGATATGTACAATATATCCTAGATCTTATTTAATAATTGTTTGTTGTCTTAACTTAAGTTGTTAGTGACTGTTAATTAAATAAAACCGCATGTTAGTCATTTTTTTGCAGGTGCACCTCATTGAGGTTGTACTTATATAAGCAACACCTGAAGCTGCTCCTATTGCCAACATTTTATAGTGTTTTTTATTTCTTATTTTGTGTATTATATGTAATTTGTTGTGTTATATTGGCCATAAATGAATGATCTATCTATATAAATTATCCAGTTGGTAGAAAATACCCACATATTACATCCTGTGTCTTGTATCACACTGTTCCTCATTTTCGGTCCACTATAGCAATTTCTACAGTCTCATTATGGAACTATAAATGCTTTTATTGTTATTGTATTACATAACAGTGAATTATATACTGTTAATAGAGATCCATCCACTATTGTACAAACAAACTTACAATCTAGAGTGACTTGTTAATAGGATTGTAATTTAATGTTAAGTACTTATGAAGTTACGCAATACAGCTACAAAACGGGTTAATATGAAATGTAACTGATTTATTCGTAAGCAGATGCTATGAATACATTGAGGGTAGAAGTAAAATTACTACGTCAATAGCAATGATAGCGATCTTTATTGAAGTATGTTATGAAAGGTTATTAACAGTGAAAATAACTTAAGAGCGCCATTTAAATTTTGAGCAACGCCATCTAGTTTATATAAAATAAACTACCTTTCTATATATTAGTACGTGACGAATAAACTTTCTTCTTCTTCACGATAATCCGCGTACGGAAGAGTATGAAATTTCACACTTATAATTTATACAGAGAAGAAATGCAGAATGCTAATATTTTTTTAAAAGTATACATACAAAATACATTAAATGAATAAAAAACGTTTCACACACTATTATGTATTTGACCCACAAATGAATATATACTTCTATTCTTCTGTTATGTTTTGTTAAAATTGTGAATAGATTAATATTGTTTGCCTTTAATATTATTTGTCTATAGTCTTACTGAATATCAAACCTACCCATAATCAATTCATTTACCTATTACAATATATATTTAGTTAGTTATTAGTGAAATAGTAATCCCTCAAGATATTAGTAGTAATCTGAATTAGAACTTCGAATTTCGACGTCGAGGAAGACCCTTACAGATTATAAATTTCCTAAATGCAGTCTGTTGTTATTTAAATAAATTTTATCTATATCTACATATAAATAAAATTAGAGTGTCTGTTTGTAATATTGAAATAAGCGTTTTTTACTACATGCATTTACATTTTTACAATTTTTGTCTGTCTGTCTGTTTGTTCCGGCTAATCTCTGAAGTGGCTGAACCGATATTAACGGGACTTTTATACGGGCAGGTAGCTGATGTAATAAGGAGTAACTTAGACTACTTTTAATTTTAGAAAAATAAAGTTATGACCCACGCGGACGAAGTCGCGGGTACAGCTAGTTTTAAATAAGTTGACTTAATAGTCACTATAGTAATACTAGAAAATAGGCAAATAGCAAGTAATCATAATTGGTTACTTCCTATTTGCCTAGTTACCAGTACCCAAAAGTTAGGTTTTGAGGAACCTCTCTGATTTTTAAAAGTACCACGAGTCCAAAGCTGCGGGCCTAGAGATCTATAGTTCCGCATACCTAAGCCTAGATTTAGCTCGCACCATTGAGGACTATTCACTCGGTCTTTGACGTGTTTCGTTCATTCAATACCATTCAATCGTTCGCCCACAATCAATCATGGATTCTATCACCGTCGGCGATTGAAAAGCTACAAAAGGCTTACAAATGTTTGAGATCTTTTCTTTGATAAATCTAGTTACGTATTGAAAGGGATATTAATATTGAATTGTTCGATACATTTTGGGTTGAGTGTTCTCACTAATTCGATTATTTCGCCAAATGTATTACTGTCAATAATTTTTATATAAGAAACTATTGCTCAACTTGATTTTTTTTATATGTTTATACATTCTGTTTATTGACGGCTGAGGTATCGCATCGGGCCGACATAAAAATCGTTGTGTCTGTACGTATAATTTTGACTTACTCTCCAGTGAAAGAAACACTAATAACAAAATAAAAATTAATCTGGGGTAAACCCCGGATTAGTTTTAGTTTTGTTTTGTGGTGTTATTTAGGATAATGAAAATGACAAAAAAAAATATATCTTATATATAAAATTTTCGTGTCACAATGTTAATTACTATACTCCTCCCAAACGTCTGGATCGATTTTTATGAAATTTTATATGCATATTCAGTAGGGCTGAGAATAGGCTACTATCTATTTTTCATACCCCTAAGTGGTAAGGGATATCCACCCGTAAATATATATTTTTTATTATTTGACATAATATTTTATTTTCATTTTATTATTATTTAGAATTGAAAAATACATACAACTCTAAATTTTCACCCTTTTAGCATCAACCCTTAGTTTTTATTTACCCTATTATTGCGATTTTAATTTAAGTATATGACAAAACAACGTCTGCTGTCCCGCAGCTAAGACCATTATAAATAAATGTACCAATATAGTTTCTTGTCAGTTTTCTTTCCTGCTTCTTGCTAACTGAAGCCAGAAATGCACGGTGGTAGAGATAGTAATAAAAAATAAGAGATTGCTTAAGAGGCCCATAGGTCCTAAATGAATAAATAAGTTTGTTTCACAACCGAAACAGAGTTAGTAAAAAATCACAGTTTCAAATAAAACAGTTATTCGAATACAAAGTCGCAGGATCAGCTAGCATTTATAATCCTTCCTAATATTATAAATATAAATGCGAAAATACCACGGCAAAACTACTGAACCGATTTAATGAAATTTGGTTTACATATTTACAGAGTTTAGATCCGGAGAAACGACTTGGGCTACTTTTTGATGTGCAAAAAGAAAAAGTAAAGTTGTATGGGGTTGAAAGAAAAGATTAAAGGTTGTGTGGAAATATCGTCATTTGTAAAGCAGGAATCTTGGAACCTTTTTTAAGCTTGTGATTAAATAGAAATAAATATGACATTCAAAGTTTGTAAAAAAATTATCCCTAAGGGGGTGAAAGTTTGTATGTAAATTTAAAATTTTTGTAGTTAGAATGATGAAAACCCTGGCATTTTTGGGTTAGATTATTAAATATTTAATGCTATCTAAGGACGAGTATTCCACGCGAATGAAATCGCGGGTATAGCTAGTAACAATTAGATTAGCTATTTAAATATAATTCATCTCAATTCAATGTCATGACTATTCAAAAGTGCTTCAATGTAAGTTTATTTGAATAAATGATTTTCTATTCTATTCTATTCTATTCTCATAATTATAGTCGATATAATTTGTGATTGTTACAGAACATCATCAATGATCATCAGCCTGATGACTCCATCGGTGACCGCGTATGGTGGCATGGATCCAAGAGCTGATGTTAGCTGCTGCTGCTAATGTGACGAAGGTGGACCCTGGTTGTTCATCACAGTTATCAGGTTTCCATGACGAGATAACGCCATAAAGAATGCCATTTAACACAACAGGAGCACCAACATCTCTCTATGAATAAAGAAATAATTTAACACTTGAATAAATAAATGTATTTATTACCATAATTAGTTTTAGATCTCGCTATTAAGTTATTTTATTATATTATATAAATACTAGCTGTCCCGGCAAACGTTGTTTTGCCTTAAAATAAAAAAAAAATTTAGGGGTGGACTACCCTTAACATTTAGGGTGATGAAAAATAGATGTTGGCCGATTCTCAGACCTACTCAATACGGTCACAAAATTTCATGAGCATCGGTCAAGCCGTTTCGGAGGAGTATGGGAACGAAAACTGTGACACGATAATTTTATATATAAAATTAGCTCATTGTTGTCTAGTGGTTTACGACGACGACTTACAACCAAGAGTTCTATAATGCAAATATAAAATAAAATTGCATTAATTTAAATTTCTAACCAATATTGAAGATAACAACAAAAATAAAACAAGAATTCTTGGATAAATTTTAACACGGCGGTAGGCTTATTGCCAAGTTAGATTCAAATATATCTAGTGCAATGTGCTGTATATCAAGTGTTGCGTCCAAAACGTCGATAATTAACAATATCTCTGACTACCCACTCATGGATAACAGTCGTGATGGCATGTTTTATAAATAGTAAAGTGAGTTTGTAATATGTATTTATTAATAATAATATATTACTATTCATTATTATCATAAATTTGGGACGAAAAGGAAGTTGTATATTTTTTATGTTATTACAATGACGAACAAACACATGGCCCTCCTAATGGTAAGTGGTAATCATTGTCTCTTGCATGAACAGCTCTGCAGATATGTGACACCATTCCAGAGTTTATGATGTCATGATATTTATCCAGTAATTTTGCTGCCTAATCTCACTTTTCAACTGAAACGCAATGTAACTGCAGACGACTATTTACAAAGTCCTTATCGGTAAATATATGTTAGATACATTTGTAAATCTTACCGTACAAGGATCAGAGTCTAATGTTGGGTCTAAACACATTATAGTTTCAGTCTGATTTATTCCTAACGCGCTCAATTGCCTTGAACAGCTATCAGTAGTTGACGGGTGCAGGTGAGATACTGTGAGCAAACGGCGCCGTTTTATAGCCTCCATTGATTCTATTTTCTGCTCTTTGGACTCCTGAAATAGCCACCCACAAAGAAAATAATACTTTATGATAAGTTGATAAAGTCATAATTTACAAATGAGAGAAAATAAGCAACGATATTTTTAAGCTTCCATTGATTCTATTAGTTGCTCTTTGAAGTACTCTTTTAGTTAGAAATAAGGTAAATGATATTTTAAGATTAGCTGAATAAGTCACAATTTACAAAAGAGATTAAATTAGAATGTCATAAAGATATACAAATTAAAAACAAATGTATAATTATATTTTTTTTAATTTTGACTAATAAACAAACAGTAGTGTAGTAGACATTACTGTTTTACTTAGGTACTTAGAAACATTTGACATTTTTAAGACAAGTAGGTGAAGCTATTTATATAATACATAGATAGATATAGATCATAAAATGCATGGTGACTTCTGTGAGTTACCATTTTAGATGATTAATTGCTCTGGGTAATAAACTATAAATGTCAACAACGACCAACAGAATTACAATAGTTCGAATATAAAATGCATTCGACTAGATTTCAATGACATTATTAAGGAAAACTCACAAACTAGTAATCAGATCTGCTTATTAATTTTAAGAAGATCTTGATCAATACCACACGGATAACATCAACTATAATATAATATATTATAAAAAAATAATACCTTTTCCTTCTTCAACCCCTAAAAAAACCTTTAATCATGCAGAAATTAGTAGCTATAATATACGAGAATATATTTTACATGTCTCTTTTATACCTAATGAGGCATAAAACCGGTTTTACTGCGATATGTAGTCTTTATAGTCAAGTGTACTTACAACGGCATTCGACCAGGCAGTAACAATAAAATGTGTTGCCATAACGCCCTTATAGTACTTTTGTACTCGTATTGGGTTTAGACTGTACGATAGTCTCACTCTTTCTGGCAACATTATAAGTGCTATATCAAATTCAGGCTTCTTGTCATCGAAATAAGGATGAACATCTAATGACTTGATTGGCAATAGGATACCTCCTTTTCTGTAATTTGTACTTCCGAGTCTGATTCTAATTAGCCTTAAAGATTCTCTAAGGCTGAAAGAAAATGAGATGGTTATTAAAATTGCAATTTTATGACTTACATCTTTTCTGTTGTTAAAGCAGGATTAAGAAATGATTTCTTCATCCTGTTGTGTCAAAATATTCTTCTTTTAGTATACTTTACGGCTTTAATCCTAGATAGGATAATCAAATGCATTATCAACTATTGACATCGCATTGTGATGAATGCAACAATTGACATGCCCACTATATATAAAACTAAATACATGCTCTTCTCATTGCCCACCACCGGTACTCTGCCTGTATATACTATATATACATACTGTTAGCGCAGACGAGTACAACTACTACACATCCATAAAAAACAAAAGTTTTACATGTAAATAAAGTAGCAATAAAATAAAAAAGTTACTTTGAATTCAGAATGACATAACATTTTAATTATGCTTTAAAAGTTGGGTCCGTGTGGACGAGTTGTGAAAACGCTGGCGGCATTATCGCGCTGAATAGCTGAACTAAAGTGTTGGACCAGCAATATTATAATACTAGCGCCCGGTCTGGCTACATATAAATATTTAAATATTATAAATTTTAATACACGCTTTATAAAGGATATCAATATTGAATGGTTGGGGGGGGGAGGAGGGGGGGGGGGCTAGAGGGGATTGTTAGTAAAGATCGCTATCAATATACCATACTAGGTTGACGTCCACACAGTTCCCCCTGGACTCTATCGCGGTACCCCTGGAAGCCTCCAATTACTTTGTTTTCTTTTTTTCTACATATAAAATTTCAGTACTATATGGAATATGGAAACAAACATGTAAGTATTTGTTATCAAATCTATAATTTGATTAAGTTGATGATATTAAGATTTTTATTCCTTAATCGACAAATTATAGATTCCCTGTGCAAAATTTCATTGCCACAAATTGAAAATGTTGGTTTTAAAGCGAAAATTCATCAAAATTGTGAAAAGGTAACAGACGTTCGAGCAGATTTAGTTTTATATTTATAACCACTAAGGTTCGAAACAAGAGCGAATATTTTAAAAGTTTATTCTTTTAAATGTTAAGTTTTATATTTTTAATGTTGTAAACCTGTAAAACAGCAGCTCTCTGAATAAATCTAAACTCTTCTATTTTCCTTGATCACGGCTCTATAAATGCTTCCTTTTTAGATAATTGTAATGATATATGCCGATAATCACTGTCTTCATACTGACTTAAATATTTATATGTACCATTATAATCAATAATAATCATGTATTTCTCATGAGTTTCTTGTTAATACTTCTCAACATAAACTATGTACATTCCGAACTGATGATTGACTTTGGTTACCTAAGTATCTGTAATAGGCCTATATGAATATAGATATTTTGTATTCATATGTATTCATATATATGCGTAGAAATACCTAGACCAATATTAACATATCTTAGTTCTCTGGAATAGTAAGTAGTATGAGTGGCATGATGGGTGTCATATGATAATATGATATCAACAAACAGCACACTATGTGCTGTTCACATTGAAACTAAAGACGACGGATACCGTTCACCATCACGTGGGTCGATAAGTTATTACCATTGAAGTTACATAAATAATAATAATAGTAATAGTAATAATCTTAGGACAATTCACATAGCGCCATCTAGACCCAAGTTAAGCTAGCTGAAGCTTGTATTATGGGTATTAGATAACTGATACACATACATAGATATTTTTTTTTAAATACATACATATTATACATAGAAAACACCCAGACCGATACAAACAAATGATTGTTTGTTTTTTCATGAATATGATTCATGAATACAAATGTTTGTGCTGTGCAAGGAATCGAACCCGCGACCATCGGTCGTAAAGCGGTGTGCTAGACCACTAGACCACCGAGGTCGTCTTATAAAAAAATAAAGATTATAAGAAATAATATTTATTTTAATAATAATTTTATCTTAATACGAGTAAAACTTACAGAAATAAAGAATCTGCCGCAGTCACTACCCAATTGTCATCAATCAACGCACCGGCACTTATGTATGATGATTTCTTTAATATAGCCACAACATATGGAAATACATCACTGTCTATTACCATCGTATGATCACTTAGCTCTTTATGTTTGTCTGTATCATTACCTAATCTCGATTTTGATATGCCGTAAACTAATTTGCTTGGAAATATGTTTAAAATAATAAATATCGTGGCAAAATTCATTTTATTTTTTATTTTATTCCTTTTATTTTTATTTACAATATTTAAATGTAAACTATAAATAATTTACTATTTATAAATCACAATTATATATATTAAAACTGCTGTGAAGTCATGTTCTTTAAAAGTAAATTAAAACCACACACAGTTAAATTATATTAATAACTGATTAATTGCAAATGTTGCTACTTTTTTATTTTATAATATTAGAACACAATAATATTATTTAGTTGTCTCATTTGCTATTAATTTATCGTTTATTTTTAGAATAAAAAAAAGTAGATGGTTACGCGTTGTAGCCTAACCTATATATAACCTGACGGTTCTAGGTAGCGAACTGATAAAGGGCGAGCACAATAGATCTATGTAGGTTGCAGTATTACAGGTCCAAGCACCTGATAATAGCCCAACCCCCCAAATAAAATAAACGCGTTGTAACTGAAGTATATATTAAGCCAATGTGTGAATATACAACGTAATGCAAAATTAATTTGTAATCCAGTTTCGGTGGTAACAATTCACACGTTTTGTAACAATAGAAACATATTTAGAAAACACACAAATGTTTGTAAGCAAAACTAAGTATATTGTAGCAATCCGCCATGTTTTTAAACCTTCACGTAATAGTATAAATAGCACATTTCTGTTATTATTAGATTCAAAGTGGAACTCGTTACGAACTAATTCCAATTAGGTTCGTAATGAAGTTGTGGAATCTGAGATATAAAATTACTGTATTTTGCAGGATAGCTTGATGTTTTATTCATAGCATAACATTGTATAAAAATATAATATAACAACAATATAATTTAAAATCTGTATAATTATGATAAGATATGTAATAATAATCATATTAATTTTAAGTTTACCAGTTTCCACCAGCTGGCTCAATGAACTGAAACCAAAACATCGAAAGCGAATACTTTCATTTACATAATATTGTAAGAATATTCGAATATATTATTACATCTATAATGTAATAATTTAGTATTAAAAAATAAATTTGTATTTTTGTATTAAAATTAAGTTATTTATTATAATATATAAACATAACTGTAATAATATTATACTAAATAAGTTTTAGTATTGTGACATCAGCTCTCTATATCTTTTTCTTATATGAATATACTTATAGCTGTGCCCGCGGTTTCACTCGCGTCAAATGTCAATAAAAATATAGCCTATTTATATATTCTGATGCGTATGTAAAGTTTCATCAAAATCCATTGCGTTTTAAAGATTTAAGCATACATAGGGACAGACAGCTACATCAATTTTATTTTATACTATGTAATGATGACAATGTTGATTAGGATATACATATACAGGTGTATAGAAAATTTATTGATTTAAAACAACACTTGTATCTACTTCATTAATAACTTAAAAGCAATATTATACATTTCTACCTATTCGGCTGTTACCAGAAACCATTAATAATGTTTTTAATTCGTAAAAAGAATTTCTCAGTATTACTAAGAATACTGTTATAATTATTTCATTGAGACGACTTGAACTTGTAAGAAAAATCAACTCCGATATTTGCGAATTTTAAAGGGCAGGAGATTAATCAAGCGAAGGAATTCAAGAATAAATTGATTATGTCAGAAAAAAATTTAATGGCCTTCTGATTTCTATTATACTAGCTACATACCCCGGCTTCGCACCGGTGCACATGTATTATACTCGTATATATAAACGTAAGGTTTACATATACGAGTCTTTAATTACTCTATTTATTTAAAAAACCGCTTCAAAATCCGTTGCGTGGATTTAAAGATTTAAGCATACATAGGGACAGACAACGACAGCGACTTGGTTTTATACTATGTAAATAAATAATAATAATGTTTACCTGCGACATCATAATATGCAAAAACTTTCACCCCCTTCCAGATATTTTTTAGAGATTTATTAAATTGATAAACCAAGCGCCATAAGATTGTAATGACATTGTTATCACTACCTCGACTTAGACCTAAAGTTTATGAGCTCAAATCTGTCCGACATTAAAATATTGTCGGTAATTTATATTTCTGACTAACTCTCTGATGATGGTAGTATATCAAACTTATAACAAACCAAAAATAATCTCAGAGACGGTAATACGCTTGCTTCCATGCCAAGTGTCAAAAATAGACAATTCAAATACTTAATATGCTCAAAGATAAGTTATTGCGACGTCGACAGTTGACAACGACTGACGCGACAATTACCCCAGATGGAGTATTCAGAGGCATGAATACTCCAACTGGGGTAATCTTCGCGTAGATTATTTTTATTTAAATGGAATAGCAAACAAGCTGAAGGCACACCTGATGGTAAACGGTAACTGTCGCCTATATATGAACAGTACTAGAGACATGATAATGTCAAGATATATGATGATACCACTCAAGCGTTGCCATTCCTACTTAAGATGTCATACTTTTTATCCTGTAATAGAAATAGAAATAGAAATAATCTTTATTCAAATAAACTTAATATAAGCACTTTGGAATAGTCAAGTTTTTTTATTCTACCGCTTATTCGGAGTGCAGATTCATCACAAGAAGAATAAACAAGAAACTTGTGTGTTGCTCTTTTAAATAAATATTGATTTACTTATATTTAATTAATCAACAAGAATTAGGCATGCGACAATCAACATAGAAACCGTATATAATATATAATAATTTCCTTCACATAAGAAAATATTTAATCTACTCATACAAGCAGAATTATAATAAAAACGAGTAAAAAATTCTAAGGCCCACACGTACAAGTTTGTGGTTAAAAAATTCACAAATGAGAAAAAAGTTTACGCAAAACAATTTGTCTTGCAGCCGTTCTCGTGCAATATGTCGCTTCCTTTGTCTTATGTCGTTTAAAAGAGGACGTAAGTTATGAGCATTTAATACCACAGCCTCGCAACGTTTGCATTATTTGTCAAATTTGAAAGACTATGTTTTTTTTTCAAACACAAGGTTAAGTTAAAAATTATTTATTTATATATTTAAAACTTTATTGAATATTGTACAATAGGCGGACTTAATACTAATAGCATTCTCTACCAACCTTGAGGAGTGCAGAGATACTCGAAGGTGGTTTTGTTTTATAAAATTAAATATAATTGTAGGTATATAGACTAGCTGTCCCGGCAAACGTTGTTTTGCCTTAAAATAAAAAAAAAATAGTGGTGGACTACCCCTAACATTTAGAGGGATGAAAAATAGATGTTGGCCGATTCTCAGACCTACTCAATACGCTCACAAAATTTCATGAGAATCGGTCAAGCCGTTTCGGAGGAATATGGGAACGAAAACTGTGACACGAGAATTTTATATATAAGATAGATATAAGAGTATACATATACATGATAATATACATATAAACATATTATGCGCATATATATTAATGAAACTACTCATAAATAAGATGACGATGATGATGATCATTTTTGCATTTCTATGTATGATGATGATGATGATGAAGGTAAGCATTCACTTTTAAAAGTTAGGTTTTAAAACTATTCTAAAGGAAGTGTACGAATGTCTTCAGACAGTGTGTTCTAGAGTCGTGAGGTTTTATTGATATACATAGTTCGTTGCCTCTTATACCACTCGTAATTGTTTATTAACCCTGTCGTCCTGTTTTAGTATTTGAAATAGCATACAGTCTCTGGACTACCTGGTGATAAGTGATAACCATTGCTTATAAATTAAAAATACCATGACCATACAAAATGGAATTTTGAGTTTTAGACAGTTTGTTTCCTATGATATAAAAAACATATATATTAGGTTTGCTACATTTTATCACTAATTTGTACATGTTGCAGTAACTTCAACTTAACTAACTTCTGTAAGGTCAGTGTTGCTAGATAACCGTTTGAACCTCCACAATTTTGAATAAATTTTCTCCAATATAATATACCAAAATAATAAAAATGTTCTTTATTAAAAAAATTTTACCATTTTCTAATGACAATAATATTCTTATTTTTTTGTACATTGTCAGGTTTGCAAACCTGTTTAAGAGGCTGCATGTCTATCACAATTCTTTCCGTGTTATTTATTATTTGGATTCACGTTATTCTATTTTTTACGCCACAGATGTGTTATCACCAATTTTCTATAAATATTTCTTCACCTCATCTCCGCAAAATACCCCATATAGAGGGGTAAATTCACAATCTGACATTACTGGATGTAGCAAATTACTACGTATTCAAAGTCGTAGTAAATCTGCACACGAGAGCGAATAGTAATTAACAATGTATTCATGCGCCAGATCAGAACTTTGAATTTCGAATGGAACTTGTAGAGCTATAAAAGTAACGACAAATAGAGTATCTGAACAACTAGTTACTAACGGTAGTACTCGTTACTACGATATTCATTATATTACTAGTTACTATAGTTAGTTCCTATCTGATTGTACATATATAATTTTTGTTTCATTTATATTGGACATCAGGTATCGGGTATATTTGATTTCTTGATTATTTCTTTTATGTGATCAAAAATAGGGTCCATACTGGTTCCATATCATTTTGTATTTCTTATGTTAAGTATATGTTGTATAAGTATAAGTGCATACTTTAACTAATTACCAATATAATAACAAGATACCTATAATAATTACGCATTTACAGTGAAGAGTAACTTTGTTACAGATGTAGTAGTTTATCATTGGTTACTTTGTAATAGTTACGTGCCATTTGCAACAGCTCTATGAATTGAAAGTGCTTTGCTTAAAAGTTAACTGGATTATTTCTTTGTATGGCTTTATTTCTTTTATAGTTTTATTTTAGAGCAATTAACACTACGTTTTATAAAAGTTCGCGCGCTATTTATATGAGTAAAAAGTAAATGGTATCTATGCTACCACCTGTAAGAGTT